CAGTATTATATTTTTCCTGATCTTCCAGGACTGTCCTCATGGTCGTCCAACGATCCGGCACATGTTCAACCTCCAAATGTTGAAGGAAGACACCGAGGGAATTTGAAAGACAGGTATGCACTTCTTTTTGCTGATTTATTGACTGACACCTGGTGGTCCGACATTATACCCCAAAACGACGCTGGAATCTAGGAATGAACCGCAGTCGTAAAACTGTGATTGGAGCTGTTGGAAATCGTAGTTGTTCGCACTGAACTTCAGCGCGTTCACGTAAATCGTCTCGCTTCCGTTATTCAGCGTGATGATGATGAAATGCTGCGTTATCCAGGTTTCTTCTTCAAAATGAGTAACTCCGGGTTTCGATGCACCAATGTACTCTGAAGAAAGCATTTCCCGTTTTGTGATCAGAAAGTATTTGAGCCAGCTGAATACAATAAATGATCCCGCATAAAATTCCCGCTGTTGGGCTGCCATTCTAAAAATTGAATTGGATGCACCGAATTAATTTTTATGAAGTTTAAGTGACTTTGTTTCAGAAGTTTTTTCATAGTTTTGTTTCTTTTGAATGATTAAAAAAAAGGAATCTACAAGCCAACAAGTTACTGTACATGAAACAAGTCTGATGTTCGTGAGATTTCAAATTTTCTTTTGAACGAATTTCTTGGATAAATTTTCTTCAGTATGGATTCCTCATTTTAAAAAGTATGTACTGTACAAAAAATTATATACTTGTAATCTAACAAAAATGTAAATTGTATATGCTTCTCCAAAATCAAGAATATTGCCTTTCTGAAAGTTTTTGTTTTTCGACTTGGTCAATTCTTTCAAATCATAATGGAGTATTGTAAAATTGAATTTTCATTGAGGTGTAAGAACTGAAGTTCTCTTATTTTCTAAGATAAAAAGGTTTCCTTTTTCCTCCTAATGGGCAGCCCAATCGCGAAAACTTGAGTAGTATCTCTCTTCTTCTCACCTTCACTGCTCAAATAGCTGCTCAAAATCGTGAAAGCAATCGTTTCTTGTCGTCCTTGATGTTCTTGAGCATTTATTCCCAAGTTCTTACATTGTTCGAGTTTTATTTCTACCGTGAAGATGCCGCCATCATTCCAAATTTTTGTGAGGTTCTTCCAGTCATTGATGCTCACAGTCCTTCAAGAATCAAGATCACATTGTTCACATTAACTATTTTTAAAAATGGACTACTGTTCACAAACCTGGACGATGCTTCGAATATCGTGATGGATTGATTGGTCGTGTCAGGATTGGGCCCAAGATCTGTAAAAGTTGTCTCTGTGGTGGTCTTAAAGATTACAGTATTTTGAAAATTAGAAATATTTCCTTACCTGATGCAATTTCTGGGTATGGTTTCTCAAGTGCTAGTTCGCCTGTTTGCGATGTCATCCATTGAGGAACTTTCCATGCGCTGATCTGTAAATTTGAAAAATTTGACAGACGGATTAAAAAAAAAAATTGGGCTAGTTTGGGCCATAACCAACTTTGACGGTTTTCTGGACGTGGTATACTCTTGAGTGAAAACGTCCGAAATCGAAATGGAAAATATTTTTAGCGTGGGTTATTAAAATTTTTAAATGTTCTCTCGTTCTTTTATTACGTTATTTTCATCTTTAATCATGTATTTTAAAACGTAACCGGCCTTACTGTCCCTGCACCCAGATTTAAATGATCAATGCAGCATTTCATGAATCAATTCTTGTAGGTTACGTTGTAGTAAGATTTATTTTGAGATTCAATTGTGCTGTATCAAGTTTTTTTTTTTTACTGTAGGTCACTAATGAAAATATTGTAGTACGAAGATATACTGACGGTATTGGAGAGAGAATCGTCGCTTTCGTTTCTGTTGCCACATGCTTCCGTCCTAATTAGCACCGTGGCTGATTTGCCGAACCCTGAATCTGTCGCATTTTCCGCCAGCATTTCCGCATCGTTAACTGCAAGAAAAGTGCGTGTTTGTGTGTTCAGTCAAATTATTCAACGTTCGAATTTATCTTCATCAATTTACATCGCTGTGTGACGAGGTGTACGTTTTTTGCCAAGCTGCATTGAATCTTGTATGACTGCGATAGACGTGGCTCCGTGAAAATAACATCAACCTGATCCCCGTTCCCGAGCATTGAATGGAAGATGAATTCCACTGAAGAGCCGAATTCCGGGACTCCGTAAATCGTGGCTGAAATTTGCTCTTCCCTGTCTTCAGATTTGGGTCAAAAATTTGATAATTAATGATTTCACAATGTACGACGTTTTTTGAGCGTATTAGTGGTACCCCTGATAATGGACTAGGTTGAAACCTATTCTTGCTTCGTATGAAATCTGCCCCTAACGGAGGGGCAGATTTCATAAAAAGTGAGTACGGTAATCTTCTAAAATTCGAAGTCTATTTCGAATACTGTATATGGCTGCTAGAATATTTTTCAAGTTTCGGAAAGCTTTCATGGCATTTTTAGGTTTGTTAGGAATTGTCTTCCTCTTTCTGATTTTTTTCGATCATGGATTTCATTTTATTTTNACGGATTTTTCTAGGGCCTGAAATCAATGAACTATGTATATTACTCGATTAATAGACCTCCCGAATGGTTGGGTTGAGCTTTGGAGAGGATTGAGTATATTAACCGAGGTATCACTGTACTTCGTATTACCGATGCGATAATTTTCAAAGCTTTGAAAGTCCAAGTTCATGATTTCCAGGAGACCAGTGATATGTGTAGAGCACGTAGAAAAATTCGCTGAGCCCTGAATCCAATGTCCACTCTCTAGCTCGTGTTTCAAGCTCTCAAAGGATTTCACCCGGATACTGTGAACAAATCGTCGAAGAAATCGATTTACTGTTTTTTAAACTGATCTTGATGACGGTAGACAAATTTGTATCTTTTTTAATCAAATTGGGGCTTCTAGCGAACGTAGAATCTTCTAGAAATCTAGATCACAACAAAGCTGCGGGTTGAGCATGGAACTTTATGGAACCATTATTTACCTCGATTTAATCATTGAAGTATTTCTTTGATTAACTTGTTACTTCTAATATTCTCACGAAAAAATACAACAAAATAATTTAAATTATTAATATTGTAGTAGACTATCTGTTGTAACATTTCGGGACTTTCCGTTGGAACCAGGAAAAATTTCTTGTATGGAGAAACATGCAAAATCTTGTTAGAGTGAGCCCATAGACAGCTCATATTTCCCAACAAGTATATTGTACTTACTACTCGAATTTTGATGGATATGCATGATGGAATACTGCCCCTTTTCCCATCTCGCAATTGTGTTTGAAAATGACTGGCTTAGTGTTCTGGTGTGTGTTGAGTAAAGTTTCATCCACTTCAACTGTACCGGCTTCTGTGATCATCAAGCTTCTGGTCCTCCAATCATTGTTTCCTTCTTCAAGGAAAAATATACTTGTTTTCTAGACCAGAATTCTAATGTATACGGACGCGGGTAAAACAAGCATTAATCAACTACTCCCAAAATTTGCATTTGCTTGGTAGCGAGCGAGGGAGTTTAAAATTTCAACTTTACTTTTTTTGGCAGGCGGACTGTCAGTTGGTGGTGAGACTACTGGTGAGTGGTGACCCACTGGGAGATTTGCAGAAATTTCACTGATAGAAAGGTAGTTCCCACTGAGATTTTCTTTCAGTTGAATCTTAATATCAGTTCGATTACCTATAATGTGTAATCCTCAAAACGAGGGCACAGTCTTTTGCGCGGTTCCTTTCAAAAAGAACATCTGGTATTTCAATGCAGAACATTACTGTGATGACTTACGCCATTTTATGAAGTCTTCATTTCGGATTATTTTGCCATCAGCATTTCTTTCTATCCACCAGTTAGACAATGTCATTGAAATGTTGGATTTGAATCCAACCGGAAAATTGTGAGGTTCGCAAAGA